CATCGTAGCTCCGACCGTCAGATCCTTCTCTCTGACTTCACATGTTCTCTCTAACAGACCTTTGGAACCGATGCGTGAGCCACACACGCCTATTCAAATGCAAGGATTCTAAACATTTAGCTCTTAGCTTTCGCTCCAGATTAAAATTGGACAGGTGAGATCAATCATGATAATCTAACCCTCAACCATCATCCTTTAAAAACGCCCTCAGTGGTTAAAACGTTCAGAGATACTGTTGTTAAAATGTGCCTGGAAAAAGGTGTAAAAACTAAATCACAGTCACGTCTCACTGATAAACAGTTGCAGTAAATCTGTGTTTAAGAGAATTCTAACAAATTGACCTCTGACCTTTGACGACCTGACCCAGTTCCTCCAGATGTCCAATAATCTTTTTGTCCCTAGTTTGAGTGAAGCTGTTGAAACCAAATGTTTTCTGAACTTCTTCAACATCAACGTGGAGTCAGGAAATCTACAGCCGCTCAACTGCCAGGACGGTGATTCACAGCCGTCCTCCAATCAAACACGACCCCTATAGTTGGTCGTGTCATTAAGAACATACATTTTTATGGTTACATGAGACAGACACGATGGCACTCTAGGAATTCTGGAGCTCACTAATCCCTTTTATTAATCCCCGCCCTCTATCGCCCCCCTTTGGCGTGTTTGTTTTCCTTCCGTCTCCCTAACCTTTGCCTAATCTTCCACGTTACAACAACGCACTCTGTCTCTTCTCTTCTCACCATTTCTCTGCGTCCACAGTCTTGCCAAACACCGTTAAGATAATTCATAACTTGCAGACAGCGGTTACCGCTACAAACGGGATCGTTGTCCGGGGCGTAAGGCGTCCCCCTAATCTTTGCCTAATCTTCCACTTTACAACAACGCACTCTGTCTCTTCTCTTCTCACCATTTCTCTGCGTCCACAGTCTTGCCAAACACCGTTAAGATAATTCATAACTTGCAGACAGCGGTTACCGCTACAAACGGGATCGTTGTCCGGGGCGTAAGGTCTGGGCCTATTTAGGAGCCAGTAAATGATGCACAGCGTGACCTTTTAACTCCGTCGACCTTTGACAGCAGGGCGACGTCTCAGAGATTATCTTCTCTGCTCGGCTCTTTCCAGAGCGGTGAAAGACGATAGGAGCGTACGAGTGCAGATGTGTGTAAAAACAGCAGTGATTCACAGCTGAGGACACACTCTGAGAGTGAGGGGCCGCAGTCACTCATCCTAAACCCGGCCCAGGAACGGGGAACACCTGTTATTTATCAGCAATGTGAGGATTTTAACTCTGACAAATGGCACAAAAATGGAAATAGAATTTTTTTTCATTTCAACTTCAATTCTTGTAGAGACTTAGTGTCAGGTTAAAATAATAAAGTTTTTAAACCTGAATATTTTGGTCACAATCAAAAAAGAACCTGGTTTAACCAGCAAATTATTTTGAACATTTTGAACAAGGCTCTGAAGGAGACTCTCTTCTCTGGTCTCTTCATTAACGTCACTTCAACGTCAAACAAAAATCTGACAAAAAAATCTCTGTAATGAAATATAATAATCTTCTAGTTTAAATTTACTTAAAATGTACTGATATACCGGCAGGAATTGAAGAAAGACACTCAGAAAGATCTTCTTCAACAGCTCTGCTGCCACCTAGAGGAACAGGATTGAATTGCTCTGCCTGTCAGGCATTGACGAAAAAACAAAAGATATTGGATAATTTTCCACAGTACAACTAATGATCTCTCACGGCACACCAATGGGCCACGGCACAGAGGTTGAGAATCACTACACTGGTCAACTGAAGGTTGGGAGAATTTTCTTGTTTTTCTTTTTCCTTTATGCGTTTAAAAGAAATGAAGCTAAAGTTAAACTGCATTTAAAATAAATCTCAGGAATCACTTTAGGACAAATAACTTCCAATGAATTGTGTTAAAAACGTTAAATAAATCTTCGAACTAAAGTCGAACACAACAGTGCGAGGTGGAGCTCAGAGGAGCTGGATCTGCCGTCTCCATAATAATCTGCTCATTTAAGTATTTTACAGGGCCAAAGGAGCAGCTGCACTTCTTCAATTTAAGACGGCACAGTCCACTCAGAGCGCCAGCACAGCACTCAGCCCACGTCCACTATCCACCGCACCATTTAATACGACTTCCCGGCCAGATTTACTGTGATGGCTTTTCAGGCAAAGAGGTATAATATGACAAAACACGGCCCCATAACCCCGGGATATTCAACAAGGTTTAGTGCTGTGAGCCATTTAGCCGCGGGATTGGTAAATATATTGCTCTCCTCCTTACTCATGTACAGAATTTCAATAAAACCAGGCTGTAAATCAGGATTGGATTCAAACTTCTAAATTTGGGAGGGGTGGGGGGAGTGGGGGGGTTGGGCCCACATGGCCTTTTGGTCCAAACTCCCGGGGGCCGGTGTCTTACACACAAACTTACTGATGTGTTAAATTCAGAGGTTCAGTTTCCTGCGTTTGTAAAAACATACTTGAAGCGTGTGTCGGATTCCTTCTTTTTTTTTGAAGAGCATGACTCATGAAAAAAATATTTTTTTACAATGATCCAAACCCTCTCATGTAGCGAAGATGATGCAAACACAAGAAACTGACTGTGGTATTGATTCAATAAATATTATTTGACTCGTGGTCATGTCAGTGCACGGACGGCATGTTCTGCTGCTGTGAACTGAATGGCCCTGATCTCAGAATCAAGATTGACAGCTGGACAAAAATGTGGTTATCCAATTTTTCACCGATCACAGTGGCAGCCTCCCCAAACACAGGCTTTGTTCACATAAAAAAGAGCACTTTAAAGTGAGAAGGTAATTAAAAATTTAACAAAGGAGCATTTCAGCAGAGACATGGAACTGGGAGAGGCAGGGAGACAGCGTGACGGGTGATGGAGAGCTGTAGAAAGCCGTGTTGGGAGTGAGAAGGAAGCGAGGGAGGAAGAGCGAGAGAGAGAGAGAGAGAGAGGGGGGGAAAAAAAAAAAAAAAGAAAGAACTGTATGTGAGACAGAAACTCTACCTTTATGAATTTGCATGAAGGACTGTATTAAAATGAACTCTTTTATATTCCAGCCCTCCTCCCACGGCTCTCCTCCCCCTCCTCCCCCCGACCCTCCCTTCTTCCCTATAAGGATAAGGGTCACCAGTGGTGGGCACAGCCACTCAAACGCTCCAGATTTCTTTATGGGCACATTAACATTCAGCCGTATTCATTATCGGTAAGTGTGGTAAGACGAACCCAGCGGAGACCTTGTGCCGCCATCAAATCGTCTGCTGTTCATTTTTGGAACGTGAGCTAAATATTAAGAGGCGACGCTCGCGACTCTTCACAGGTCAGCAGGAGCCGCTGCATCTCTGGAAATGTTTAATAGTCACGTTAAAGTATGAACCTGCGTATAAATGTTGATTTATCATTGTATTACATTCATTATATTAAAGATGTTTTTGTAAACGAATAAAAACTCCAAAAAGAAGGTGATGTTTAAACAGTGAAGAAAAGTCTGAATAAAACTGTTTCTGTTTATAAGTCGCTCTAAATATTTATTGCTCTCTGTCGCGCTCACACATGGAACATAAAGTTAATGAGAAGCTTGTTATACATGTTAATTAGAGCGTGTTTCTCTAATCACTCCTTGTTAATTAGGTCGGAGAGGTTTGCGCTAATTGTTTCCTTAATTCATGCTAATTGGTGTTAACATTTTCCAACCAGTTGGAAAAAACCTGGCCAACACACGGAGCGGTGGCAGCGACAGGAAGGTGCCTCATGATTAGAGTTCCTCTGAGACATTTAATGCTGATTAGCCATGAAGCTAATTAATGTTAATTAGCATGTTAGCAGCTTTAGCGCCGTGCCCTTGGTGTTTATTTGTTTGCCTCGTTGCTGTGAAATGTGTGAAGCCAATAAAGAGAAGCCGCCCGACGGTGTCACTTACTCTGAGTTACTGCAGTATCTGTTTTTGTGTCACTACATTCACTGCTGATATTTTTAAAGTTAATTTTTAACAAACACAAATGTATTAACTTAGTAAAAATCACCTAGTTACAGTCCATACACTGTCTAGGAAATTACATTTTATTATGTATGAGAATACATTTGCACCAAAACATATAAACGTGGTAGTACTGTATACTGACATCTAGAGGAAAACTCACTGAATTCCCACATTGTTCACACCTGTTTACACCTACACCTAAAAAATTATTTTCTAACACATTACATGAAAATAAAACAAAAATATATGTATTTTTAAGCTATTATTATTAAACGGAACCAGGTCAAACAAACTAAGACCAACTGGTTCGATGTTGGTGAACTAATTTTTCTTTTTGTTGTTTTTGAACATGTGAACATACAAAATACAGCACAGAAGTGAAAGTCAATGTTTTTAAAGCTCTGTATGTGTTAACTGTACAGAACTGGTGTTTGTTTACTTTTCTGTTTTTTGTCTTTTGGACATTTGAAGACCCTCCGTGATGAGAAACTGTTCTATTTTAGAAATCTGAGCTTGGAATGACGCCTGCCGCTCCTCCCTCTCCTGGGAGCAGGAGGTTTTCCGGTCAGTGTCAGAAACAGGAGTCACCGCCGAGGCGGGAGCTTTGCTACACCTGGAGTAAAGGATGACTAAGATAAGTAGATCTGAACAGTGAAACAGCGGCTTCTTGTGTCCACTTTAAGAAAACAAACGAGACTCAGGCTTCGACGATGATTTATGAATTTTTAAGCCGCTGGATTAGCAACCCGACCCTGTTCACTTGTGCTGCCTTCTCCTAATGGGCAGTTATAACTGCTTTACTGACTGTTTTTCTATCTATTCTGAAAATGACCACAGTTACAGTAGGCTGAATATTATTGTAAATATAGATGTTGTTTTTTTTTTAAGGTAAAATCGTTTCGACTGTTTCAGACTGGTGTCCATGATAATTAAAAAGTACAGCAGCTTATACTCTGTTATACTGTACATGTAGATGGTTGGGACTCACCCTGTGACCTTTGACCCTGACAGTCCACTGACTGTGCTGACGGTGGCAGACAGTGGAAATGAAGTCCTTGATCGAGCAGCTCTCTTCTCCTGCAGCAAAAAAAAAAAAAAAAACAAGGAACAAACTTCAGTCATCAGTGTTTCAAACACGTCAGACTTCCCTGAGAAACATTCCTACTGAAAAAAAACAACTTTTTACACTGATAAGCAATTGTGGCACAGACAAAAAGCAGTGGCAATGATGTGTAACATGATCCACAGTTCAGAGAAAGTAGCCAGAACCGAGGCTGAACTCTGCGTGACCCCCCCGCCCCCAAGTGTTCGTGGTCCACGGAAAATAAAACGAAACGAGAACTTTGGGCCTTCAGTGCCATTTGTTAAACTCTTAGACCAACGTTTTATTCCCCTCTTACTCAATATGTGTTGCTCTCCATCTCCCTCGATGGAGAACACCTGGATCTTGTAAAAGGCAGTGACAGTTTGTGGTGATGGTGACAAAATAGGGAAGGAGAGAGAGAGAGAGGGAGGGAGAGAGGGAGAGAGAGAGAGGGAGGGAAGCGACCCTATGAGAGTGAGTGGATGACAGACAGATGATGAAGTGAGAGAGGAAGAGGTGAGGAGAAGGATGAAGACGGAGTGAGTGAGAGAGGACAGACGTACACAGGCATCATTAGCCAGGGTTTCCATAACAGGTCGTTCATCCTTTTGTCTCTGGGACGTCCACCAGGTCAACATACTGTACGTCAGCCTCATCCACTCACTCAATATCTGACTGTTTTTAACTCCTGATATTTTCTACACTGGGTTTCATCTGCTGCTCTGCCAGAAGGAGATTTACGTCCTGTGCCCACGGTAGAACCGACAACTCCATACAGCTGTAAAGTCTTTACAGGTTTTAAAATATTTCAGTACATGTCAGTACATGCCAGTACATGCCAGTACATGCCAGTACATGCCTAGTGACAGACAATCATAGCCTCATTTCAAATCCACACCAGTGTACTCCAGTACTGACCATGTCTGCTCTCCACTCCCCCTGTTGGTGTCTGGTGGAGGGAAGTGAATCCATCACATCTGATCTGGTGGTGATCACCAGGGGAACTGAGAGGAATGAGGTGAGATGGTAAGAACAACAAGAAGATGATATGCAACGGTATGGAACGCAGATGTACAGTGAGATACAGCCAGTAGAGAGGAAACATGATGTTTCAGCAGTTTTTCTCTCCGTCACCTTTGAACTTCTTGCTTCTAGGGAAAACGGCTGTTTGGCTGAAAGTCGCTCTGACGTTTCCACAGGAGCTGAGTGTCTGATGAGACGGCAGAAATTATATACAGTAAGTACTAATAAATACAAATAAGAAGTTAGCGGTGGATAAAACGCCGCTAACTTTTATATAAATGTGATTTGAAATTTACAAAACAGGTTCAATATTACATACAAAAAGTGTCAACAATCAGGACATAATATCATACCTGAACTAAGTGATGCCGTCCTTGACTCGGGTCCAAGGACGACCTGAGTCCTGCTGAGTGACTCGTCTTTGTCTCTTCTTTGTCTCCTGTTTTGTCCTCCTTTGATTCGCCCTGAAGGTTTCTGGACTTCTCCTCAGATTTCTTGTCTACAGCGTCCGTCACGACATCTTTGTCAGTAGACGTTAAATCTTGGTTCTCTGGTGTGACTGTGTTTGAGTTACATTCCCTTGAAAAACCCTCACACTGTCCCTGATCTGTGGACTGTTGGTCCTCTGAGGCCTGAGGAGACGACTGTGCTGGGGGGGACTGGTTGGGCTGTTTGAGACACATTTCATCCATTTGCTTTAAGATGACTGTGACTCCAGAGGGATCTTTGCTCTGTGGTGTTTGTTCTGAGGTTCTCAGTTCTTCACTGACATTCACTTCTGTTTGACGTTCTGCAGAAATCACATCACGATCCTTCTCTGGAATCAGAGGCTGTAAAACTTCAGAGGTGAAACCAGTCACAGATATTTTGTCCGTGCCGTCAGAGACAGTGTTCTGCTCACAGAAGCTCTGACACGGACGTTCTGGGCCGTCCAAGTTTTCAGAGACTAATGGAGGCCCTGCGTCCTTCGAGTCAACGACCTGGAGTCTGTTGCTCTTTTCTTCACAGCAATCAGTTGTTGTCTGGGTCAGTATCTGTGTTTCTGGTGTGTGCACGGCCGTCTGCCTTCTCTCTTCTGCTCGCTCCATCTCGTCTTCTCCTTCCTCCTCTCTATCGGTTGTTGTTTGTCTCTCTGTGCTTCTGGTGTCCCCTGAATCCTTTGCTGCTGACCCCTGGTTCTCCTCCGGTCTGTTTGCTGTATCTATTTTCTGGGGAATTCCATTCGTCACTTCAGCGTTTTCCTCCTCATTCACCTCCTCTCTTAACTCTTTGTCTTTCATCGACTCCTCGTCCTCATTTTTTTCCTCTTCTTCTCTGTGACTTTCCTCTTGTCCTTCAGAGTCAAGTTGAAGTTTTTCACATTTCTCTTCATTTTCCTCTTCACCTTCACCATTTAGAGCCACGTGCCCTGTTGTAAACTCTTGGTCACACTTCAGTTCAGACGCTGTGTTCCCACTGTTCAATGGAAGATTAGGTTCAGGTTGTGAGGAGTCAGTGTGAATGAATTCTGAAGTGACACCAGGATCACGCTGACGGTCGGGGATGTTGATTACTGAGGAGGTGGACTGGTGTGAGGTCTTCATCTTTGAAGAGAGAAATGTGAAAAAAAAAACAATGACATAAATCACAAAGTTGGATTTTGGTCACTGCAGTAAATCAGTGTAGTCGACGTTGTATTTGATCATTAATTATGAAGCATTTTCATTTTTTATTTATCATCAGAGCAGGAGAATACTTGCTGCTGTTTTATTGTCTTCTCATTAACAGAAGACTAAACTAAACTTATTATTTTTATTAAACTAAAAGTCTTCAAAAATAGATCTTTATATAGATGAATGAATTCAACTACTGTATTTGAAACCAGTATCTGTATCAGTGTCTAAATAAAGTTTGTCTTAAAGACTAAAGACAAACTTTTGATCCAAACTAAAGCAGTAACATTTTTGTGGGTTTTCATTTCCTTAAAACAAACACGACCAGTGTTTTTTTGTGGATCCAACTGTAGAAAAGACAATCTTTATGTGTGTGTGTGTGTGTGTGTGTGTGTGTGAACCTCTAACTCCACTATTTTCTCAGCCTGTTCTTGGACCAGTGATGACAGGACCAGTGTGTGTTTTTGATGGAGCTGGTCATACGTCTCTTTCAGAGACTCAAGTTCCCGCCGCTCAGTTTTGACTGAGTTGAGCAGCATTTCCTTCTGTTTAAATCAAACACAGAAACACACTTTTTTATTATTATTTTTTTAAATCTCTAGCGACACCTCACCCTCACACGCTGGAGCTTCTCTGTTTTTTTTTTACCTCAGAGTCCCAGCTCCTCCTGGAGGCAGTGCAGCTCTCCATCAGCTGAGCAGACCTTTCATCCAGGGCCTTGCTTTTGTCTCGCATCACTTCGTGTTCCTGCTTAAGGGCCTGCAGTAAAATTAATCACCCGTGGGATTTTTAATGCAATACTAAATTTTTATGTGTTTATTTAACGTGAACAGAAGGTCTTAAACAGGGCGGGGGGGCCGAGGGGGGGTGAGAGGGTCTTGCTAATACAAATCAGCTGGGTTGTGACATTTTAATCCTGATTTTAATAATTCAATGAATGAATGGGTGAATTAAAAAAAGAGAGAGGGGGCACAGACGGGGGGGGGCAATAAAGTGCAGAGCCATAAAGGGAGAATAAACACACTTACGATCGTCCACTTCTATTTACACTTAACGTCCGCATTCACAAATGTACACGTTGAGATGAACAACATCACATTCATCACATTTACGAGACCAAAAGCCACGCTCGTCATTTATTCCTGCACTTGTTTAAATTCAATCCGTAATCGTTTAAACGGAGCCTGAAAAATTCCCCGTTCACTTCCAGCCAGGCACCGACACTCGGGGTCGTCCCGGGAAGATAAGACTCCGTCTCTATAATTCATGTTTACGCACACTCAGAAATTAGAGACGACGTGAAATGAAAGTTAAACAGGAAGGATGACAGAGAGTTTCACACATCTGCTAATACTACTACAGTACTCTAGACAGTGGAGTACTGTCTGAAACTGTTCTCCTCTTCATTAGTTCTTATTATCAGTGTGTTTTAAATATGATATTTTTGTCATCAACCTCTTAATGTTCAATTTGTACCTTTTGTTGCTCAGAGTAAAATAAAAATTACCTGATGAATTAGTACAAAAACAACTACAAATATTTTTACATTAATATCAATGATAGTATATTGAAAACATATGTAACAATCAAAATAAAAAGTGAGAACCTCTGACCTGATACTGTTCATTCTGTGCCTGTAACTCCAGCTCAACTCTCCTTAACGTCTGTGTCTGAGTCAACAGCAGATGATGTGTTTTCTGCAGAGCCTTCATCACCTCCTGAACAGAAACAAGAAAAAAAGTTCCATCATTTTCCATAGACTTCTTACATGAGCAGTAGAAATCTTTAGAATCTTTCTTTTTCGTTCTCTGGGTCTGTAACTGTTTAGTTTTTTTACCTGTTTTTCTGCACGAAGCGCTGCATTGTCTGCCTGAAGTTTCTTATTCATCTCAGTTTCCTATAAGAAATTCACAAAAAGAAAATCCGGTGTGGACATTTCCAGTCAAAGACAACAGTTGAAGGGTGTGTTGTGGTGAAACACAGACTAAAGTGTGAGTTTGAGACACAGGTCGTCTGATACCGTGGTCAGTTTCTGCTGCAGCATCTGTATTTCCTGCTCTTTTCCCGTGTGAATGTGAGGCCTGTCGTGTTTGACCGACGTCATCTGAGCTTTAATCCTCTTGTTGTTCACTTCCTCCAACTCCTGAGGAAACAAAAGCACCAAGATGCAACAACTCAGACAGGTGTGGGTAAAGCTCTGACCCGTGCACAGATGTGTGGACGTTTTCTACACACCTTTGTGAGCGACGCAACGACGTTCTCTAGTTTTTTATTTTCAGAAGTCAGTTTGTTGTTCAGTCCCACGGCGAACTCCACTGCAGGGACATGACAACAATACTGATGTCCAGAAAAAAAAACAGCATTTTTTAAAAAACTTTTTACATGGCCTAGAGCTGCTCCTTAGGAAAAAAAACCCCAAACAATTACAATAGGGGGCACCAAAACGCTCGGAGCTGACTCTGTGTGGCGGGGTTTATAATGTATATCATGTAGGAAACTAAGATATTTACTGTGAATGTTTTCATAAAAACACATTCGTTTTGGTCTAAAGATCTTGATCTTCTCCAAAACCTTCAGGTCAAAAACAGTTTCCTTTTAGAAAAATCATATTTCTGAGATGTCATACATTAAAAAAGATTATACATAAGGGTTTTTTCATCGTTTGTACCGTTTTGCCCCAGCGTCTCGTGGGCCTGTTTGACCGCGGCACACTGCCTGGACAAAGCAACAAATCTTTTCTCCACTTCTCCCAGCTGGGCCAGATGACGGTCCTTGGACCGACTCTGCATCACCAGTTTCTGCTCCTGCAGTAAAGGACACTGATTTTACTACAACGTCACTTTAGGTAAAAATCAGAACCTGACTGTGAAACATAAACTGAATGTTGGAAAAGGACAGATTTCATCCAAAGATCCAAAACCTCATCTACGAAAAAAAACAACCAAAAAAAACACTGCTCTACAGGATATCAAACTAACTAAGAATTTAAAAAAAAATTCACATTATCACATGACACGATGAATGCTGTCAGCTCATTGGACGGCTGTCAGGACAGAGCATGTCAGAAACAAACAGGAACTCCGGCTCTAAACACATTTGTCCCATAAAAGAGACAAACAACAGCAGCTCGTTCTGTCAGACAAGCGAACAGCTGTCAGGTGGCGGTGAGGATGAGGCCTGAACACGTCCCGCGTCTGTGTTTCTCAGTGGGATGAAGGGTATCAGCTCCACTCACGCCTCACAGCCCTTTATCGCTGCTCAAACTCTCATTACAGTTTGATTGTCTGTATCAAGATGATCAGATTCCTTTTTTTTCTTCTCCTTTCACTCATTTCCTATCTCATCCTCCACTCCCCCTCCCCACGACGCCCCCCCCCCCCCCCCCCCCCCNCACTCTGCTGAGTGGCTGTGATGTGCAGGAGGTTAAACCGAGCGCGGCTCTGTTATAAAATATTTTAATAGAGACATTTTCCTCAAGTGTGCTGGCGCTTCACGGTGTCACACACTCCCTCTCTGTTACTCCTGATGAGCTCTTCTCCTCTGTTAATCTTTTCTCACTCCCACCGTCCGACCAGCAGCCGTCGTCGTACAAGTGGAGGATCCTTCCTTCCTACGTTCCTCACCTGTTCGTTTATTTTCTTCTCTAAGTTGTACTTCAGCAACTGTGAAACAGCAGTAAAAGTAAAAATCATTAAGATGAAGCTGTTCATTTCCCGACGAGCAGTCACAAAGATTACAGAGTGTAAATCCTAGGCAGTGGTTTTTCCCTCCCTTTAATCCAAAATACATGAATAAATAAAAATGATGTTGCGACCAATAAGTGAAATGACCATAGATGACACACATTTAAACACAACACAAACATTAACACATTCTTTAAATCCACAAAGAGACGAATAGTTCTTTCCATCCATCCATCCATCCATCGGACGAATAGTTCTTTCTATCCATCCATCCATCCATCCATCCATCCATCCATCCATCCATCCATACATCCATCTTCTAAGACAACAACTTGATGTCAACTTCTACACCAATGGTTCTCAAAGTGGGGGGTGTGTCTCCCTAAGGTGGTGCATTCTACTGTAGGGAGGGTGGAGAAAAGAAAATTAAATTGAACTTTGATTTCCTTTAACTGATGAGACTTCTCCACATCAGTGACTTTAATGGTGAAAGAAATAAAAAAAAACTCAGTCTTTATACGTATATATGTGTTTATATATACTTATACTATACTGTCCGGCCATATTTCTGTGTCTCTTCCTGGTTATTTATTAATAAACCGTGAGGGTGAATTATTTCAACTTCATTATGGACTAATTGAACCGTACTGCTCCGATTTAGCAGTGCATCAGGGTGGGGGCAATTAAATCACAGCGGTCCCCGCTGCCACTGGGGGACAGAGGGTTAAATTAAAGCCACCAGACCGTGAACACAGGGATGAACCACTAGTGGGCCTCACGCTGGGCAAACACAACGCTGAGTGTCGCCCAGATAGAATATCAAAACCCCAGCCCATTGTCTGTGTAACACGGCCGGGCTGTTAAAGTGCAGCCGGGCATGTAGGTGGCAGTTTATCACCGCGCTGGTGTCAGGACAGAGGACGGAGAGTCTGAGAACCAGAGAGTGAGTTTAACGGCTAACGCAGGGAGATCTTGGTGACGAGATGTGGACGTGGTTTAAACTCATTACATTAGATCAAAGTTACACTAACTGTGTTTAGCTTTTTGGGTTTTTAAAACTGGACGGTTCTCACTTGATTTACTTTAGGTTGAAACATTTCCTGAAGTCGTACTGGGGTCTGACTTCAGCCTCAAACACACACGTCACCGACTGTAGTTGAGCATTGACAGTCGTTCTGACCTGTAGAGACTTCCACTCTTCTCTTAAGGTGTTGATTTCTTTGTCCTTTAACTCAGCACTCAGCTGGTTCTTACCCTGAAATGACACATTAGACACAGCATAAAAAAAACTCACTGACTGAACAACAGACAAGGAAATAAAAAAAAAAAACTTTTTATACTCTACCTTTTCTTCCTCACTCAGTCTGATTTTGTCTTGCAACTTGAGGGAGAGAAAAAAAAAACTTCATCATTAGATTTGTTTGTGTTTGATATGAATGTGTTTTTTTTTTTCATATAAACGTACCTGCTGTTTAAGGTCGCTGAGTGACTCTGTGTGCTGAGTGGCTGATGTTTTCATCTGAAGCTGGAGGGCCTCCTGTGGCACCGAGCAACCAATGAGAAAACAGTTTACTGGGAGTGATATTACATGGATATTTTTATTTTTAAATACAACATTTTAGTCAAAATACTAACATATATTTCCAGGTCAGGGCTAAAAAAATTCTAACATATATTTCCAGGTCAGGGCTAACTTAATCTCAGCTCCGTTGACAGGAATAAAAACATAAATATTAAATTAAATTTCATACCGTTTCTCTCTCCAGCTCTTGCTTCTCCAACATGAGTTTATTGATCCGATCTTCAAATCTCGTCTCTGCCTCCTGCAGCACAGACACACCTGCTTCACTACCTTAGTAAAGGGACAGTACAAACTTTTTTTGTCCAGTCCACCAACCACCTACTTGTCACCATTTCTTTCTGTATTTTTGCTGTAAAATCACACTGTCATGTTGCAGAATACATGCTGCTGATCTGAGAACTATTTGACTATTTTTGTTTATAAATGAAACAATTTGACACTCATATCATTGAAAGTATTTCGTGTCCACGCCCTACGGAAAGGCATCCTTCCTCAAAGTATCACAGCTATCAGTGAGGACATGAAGTACTGGAGTACAGTGTGATCTGGACAGGAATGGTTGGGAAAAAAAATCCATTAAGTCTTTGACTCTGCAGGCAAATAACTCTTTCTTGGCCAAAAGTGCTTCAAGTTTCCCTGCTTCACATCCTCCGTATCTTTTTGTAAAAGCACGAGAGGAACACAAGAAGGGAGGTGATATTTATGGAACGCCATCCCTATCCTCCCTCTCCCCTGGGGAAGGCAGGTAAAAGTCAATTGCTCTCTATATCCACAGGACTTTTTTATGTGCACGTGGGAGCTGGTTAACTCACTGAGTTTATTTTATAAGTTCCTATTAAACTATGCTACCAGCGTGCACGGCACTTAAAAAGAAAAAGGAGTGGACAGGAAGATAAAGCTGTTACTTTTCCACACAGGAATAATTAGTGTTTGTGTGAGAGCGAGAAACTGTTTTTATATTTAAGCGGGGACTTCAGTCAGAGACGTCTGTGGGGACAAAAAAATGGACATTTTCTGACAGGTTCCACAGGAAGTAGTCCCTGATTTTGATCTTTTCTTTCCTGATTGGTGGAAAAACAAATAAACAGTGTTATCAGAGGGTTACCAGTCAATATTCTAGACGTATTTTACTGCGCCTATGTTGTTGTCTAAGAAAAAACACACCGACCACACGGTCCACTACAGAGGCCCTCGAGCCACATATTTGCTGACAACGAACTGCCTCCACAAACTGCGCCGTGAACACGTGAGAGGAGGCTGTTTTCCTTTCCTTCACCGTCTGCGTTTTGGTTCAGTCAGCATGTGTAAACGGGCTGACAGCTCCACGCCAACGACCCGTTGATGAGACGTTTGTTAAGCAACACTTTGTGCATGGATGGAAACTGAAGAGCTGCTCTGAGGTGACTTGTAAAAACAATAAGTGTTTCCAGGACTTTTGACTTTTCTTCCATCCTCTGACTGCAGAATTAGTCAGTCATCACAGGTTTCAAGTAAATGTCAGTTGTCAATCACCTAATGGGTCGTTTCTAAACTACTATTGTCAACAAAAACCCTGTTACGTAGCGGTGGACGTTGGACAAGTCATCACTAAATTGTCCCTGGTAGAGATTCTATGACAAACCTGCATCTGTGTGTCTACACGCCTTTAAAAACCTGAAGTCCAGCGACCGGAGGCTGCAGGCACTAAAATCCTAATTTATCGTGCTTTTACTTACAGTGTGAAAATTCACGACTTTTCACATCGTATATTTGTCATGGCCGATCGTCTTTCTGCGGTTTATATAACTGTTCTGAACGGACGCCTTTTATGTGGCTCTAAACACGAAAAAGAAAAATTAAAATGCGACGACGTATTCGACAGGATCAGATATACTTTATCCTGAAGTTTTTTTTTTTTTAAAGATTCCTTCTACTGTAATAAGTCGCCAAAGTCAAAGTGACTTCTTCTACATTAGATCAGATATACTCTATCCTGAAGTTTTTTTTAAAAGATTCCTTCTACTGTAATAAGTCACCAAAGTCAAAGTGACTTCTTCTACATTTTACTCATGGTCTAAAGAAACCAGAGCAGAGTTTAACAGGAGGATTCTGTATTAAAAAAAGAAGGAAATCAAGAGAGAAAGAGAATGTTGGCGTTTGACCTGCTCAGGAATGTCCGGCACCATGATGACATCCGCCTGCTTCTTAACCTCTCCACCCAGCAGCCAACACAACTACAAAGTGGTGCTGTGATAACAGCAGAGCCTGAGGAGGATCACACTGATACACCACGTTGTGTTTGTATCACAGTTAACACGGCCATAACAATAAAAAACAAATGGCAACAAACGAGCAGCAGCCCATTTCTGCTGCTCTAACCTTTAAACACACTCTGGACACGTCGTCAGGTTTATGGAACTGCTGCAGGCAACGAACCCAACATGTATTTACAGCAATTTTTTTAACAAACAAATTCACACTCATAACACGACAAACAACAGGCGCGAGTTTGTGTGTGTATGAGTGACAAAGATTGTCTTCGACCGACTACTAACAATCCACATTTTTACACTAAATGTTAAAGAGAAAGTACCATTAACACAACGTTACCTTCCTGATATGCAGCTCTTCTACGGCCTCCAGTAGATGACTTTTAAATTCCAAAAGCTGAAGTGAAAGGGTGCTTGCACTTTCTGCACGACACTGGGCGTCGGACACAGAAAGTTCCAGATCCAAAGCTGGATTACCGTCCTAGGTAAAAAAAGGAAATACAAAATAAAGCACCAAACATGCAAGAAAAAATTCCATAAATCCAACCTGTTCACCAGTCAGTATCCAGTGTTATCATCAGATTTATTATATCTGAATATTTTTATTTTCACTAACATCACTGTGTGCAGTACGTGTCCCTGACTTCAAACTCTCGTCCATCTCTACTGTACGTTTGAGGAAGGTCAAACTGGTCGCCTGCTGCTGCCTGTTAATGAAGACATTAAAAAAAAAAGAAAAAAGAAAAAAGAAAAGAAAACTCTGTTAGGTAAAGGTTAACAGAATATGCCATTTAATAGGCAATAAACTCTGCATTTTCTCCACTCATGAGCTCATAATTACATCCTCATCTGCAGTTCTAACTGATAGATGATTTTAGTAGAAATAATAATGTTTCTCAATCACTACAATTTAACCCTAATGGCTTCAAAATGACCATTAAGGGTTTTTTTTCCCCTCTGTCTTTGTCTTACACCACTTCCACCGCAGCCTGGAGAGATTACACCTTGAGAAGCCGGCGAGCTTCAAATGAAGCAGCCCATTGACAGTAATAGGGGTCAGAGCAATAACACTGAGTGAACAAATTGTGCTGTCAATGCTTTTTAAATTATTTAATTTGACCCGTGTGGATGATCTCCTCACACTGTCTCCGTCCCCTTCTCCACAGTGAATCCAGAAAGTGACTGACACACACACACACACACACCTACTGGAAAAATATGACTATTTAAGAGGGAGGTCTCCACTAGCCACTGATCTCTTAATAGAACGGACCTTTTTCCCCCATTTAACCTGCACTAGTATCAATCATGCTGGAGAATTAAATGATCCCTGCTGGAATTGGCTACTATCATAAAATGACACTGTGACCCCAGGCTGAGGAGGGGGACGGGGGGAGAAGGGGAGTGTAAGTGTGTCACAGTGTGCACTGTGTGGTTGTGTGTCTGGTTGAGGGAGTCGACCACAATGTCTTCAGCTGTGATTCACTTGAACAGACATTAACCACCAATTCTCTCTGAGCTGTGAAAGGACAAATTAAAAAAAGAAAAAGAAAAAAAAGTCTGCATTTCCACTGGCTGAGTTATGTCAGCAACAGTGAAAAACACAAAGGAAAAATAAAAGTTTTTACGTTTTTAAGTAAAGCAATGAAAAGTGTGAACCAATAAACTGCTGCAGGACGAGCATTAAATCAAGAATCATCTTTTAAATGTCGCATTAAATATAAAAAAAATGGTAAATTTTACTAACTAAATTAATTTACTTTAATAACTATTATTATAATCATCTAAGTTGTAAAACTTGAAAAACTTAGATGACGCCATGACCGTGACATTACACGTTGATATTTAGGTTAAATTTGAATTAATTTCACTAGAACTGAATTGTAACGTCATTAGTTTGTTCATTTATTTTTTATATGAAAAAACTTTAAAAGTAAATATGATTAAATAGGCGTATTTTGTAACATACTTAAAATGGAAAGTATCGTAGCTGAAAGTATTTCTCACGTAGCCGTTAGGCTAAAGTGACAGGAGGTCCGATAAACTTAAGATTATAGTTCTACGGAACAGTCGAAACGTGGTCAAAACATTTAGATTTCTTTTTTTTCTAAAATGCTCAAGACACTACGTGACTTTTTTTCTCATTTTGAATAATTTCTCGCAAGACAATTAAGAGTTTTTTCGATTATGTTACCTTTAGCAATTATCTCTCCAGTTAGCGGCCCAGGTACCTCGTCTTCCTCTACGTTCTCACGGTGGCGTGATGATTTTTGGGTCTAGTCTGACACCTTGTGGCGTTTAGAGGGTAAAGCAACGCAGAAGGAGTTTAGAAAGTACGGACCTGCAATTTGCCTGTTTTTTAATAAAAATAAAATAAATAAAAAACATTAAAATGTTTTATAAGATTACCTTCTATATTTTAGTATTATTCAGGTGTTAAATGTGACGTACCTGACAGACATGACATTCAAATCCAAGTTTAGAAACTAAAAAAAAATCAAAACATATTACACTTTCATAAAGTGATTTCAGACAAAAACCACATGTTTAAGAAACATTTTTATCACATCATGGTGTGTCAGACGTGGCTCATGTTGCTGTGAGCTCCAGGACTTTGTACAGGATCTTTTTCTGTCCGTATCTGACATGCAGGGCTTTCTGTTCCCTGCTGCTCAGCTTAGCAAACGCTGCTTCGTCCTCTATCAGCAGCCGGTCACTGAGCAGGACCTGCTCCACATCCTCCACTCCGTTAGCGTAGGACCTGAGAGTCAAACGGGCCGTTTGATGCAGCAGCCTCTTCCATGGAGGCTTCAACTCTGGGAGACCCTCGTCGGAGAAAAGGTGGGTAATGTTTTCATCATCCTCCTCCTCATCTTCCTCCTCCCACCCTTCATTTTCTTTGAACTCTGAAAACTCCTGCTGTGACAAACACAGAACCTGAAACGATACAAAATCCCGTTAGAGTCTTTGAGAAGAAGAATTCTCAATCTTCTGTAGGTTTGGTTGGCCTCACCTTCAGTGTGGTGTGAAGCTCTGTGTCAGTAAGGCACCCCTGCTGGCCAAAGACAAAAGTTTCTTTGTGGTCATTTAACTGACACACCATTTCCCACTGCTCCTCCACCAGCTGGCGATCTGAATCAGACTGAATACCTGCAAGAAAAGAAAAAAAACGAACCACTTTAAATGTGTTTTGATATCCATCAAAACGTCTTCTGTGTGAGTCGGTTCTGGTTCCGCTCACCTTGGGTGCAGACTGTGTAGAGGTTGGCCGCAGGAATGTCAGCGGTGTCGTTGCTGTTGCTGGGATATGGTTCCGTGAAGCCGTACATGTGGAGCAGCTGCCAGTTTGCCATTTGACCGTAGGTGTTGAAAACCTCCTGACCTTTCTGAACAGGCCGCACACAAACCATCTTCAAACAGTCCTGGGAACCATGGAGACAGAAATAAGAAAATTTAAAAAATAATAATTTAATTTAATTAATTAATTAAAAATTAACACTTAGTTTTCACCGCACCTGCATGAATTCCAGATTAGCATTGTGATTGGATATGTGGTTCAGCATGTCTGCCATTGGAACCATCACTGGTGGACTGGGAAGCTCCTCTTCATCCTCGTCTTCATCATCCGTCTCATCCTCGCTCTGCGGCTCCTGGAAACTACAGGCAGAAAAAGGACAATCAGAGATGACAAAAGCAAAACACTGTAGTAAAAATGAGCTGAGATGTTTCATGAACTCACCTGTAGGCCATGATGAAGGCCACCAGCTGAGTGTACAGCTCCAGGGTGTGAACACTAGGGTTCCATAAGTCTGGATGCCGAGTCATGAACGGCAGGACCACAGTCGTGTACTCCTTATGAATGTTGCTCTCATCTCTGTCCACAGCCTCTGGAACACCTGTGCCCTGTAGGAGGCGCTCTCTCTCCTTCTTGGACCTGCATGGAAGGAAAATGTTTTGTTGTATTTTCTGCTTCTTTTTTATACAGTGAAGAACATTTGATGGCTTTACTCCCTTTGTTTAAATAGTGCAATCTGACTTGACTTGAGGCAGCATTTTCTTTTTTCTTTTTTTTTGCGCTTAGAACTTTTGTAAAAGTATACAAAAAAAACACATGCGGTGTAGTTTCCACAATCACCACAAGATGGTGGTAAGGACACAAAATTCTGCAGCAATTCTGTTTTGCCACATCACCAGTTCTACATGGGTTTGTGAAGACTTCTGAGAAAACGTTTTCCCTCAACATATGTGGCTCGTTGGTCTAGGGGTATGATTCTCGCTTAGGGTGCGAGAGGTCCCGGGTTCAAATCCCGGACGAGCCCACGTTTTGCAATAGTCAATCATTAGTTCACATTAAATCATGCTGTGCTCTCTGGGCAGGACAGAATAACAGTGTAAACAGTACATTTTTAAGCAGTAAAAGTCATCTTGTGATGAAGGAGAAGAAAAACCTTCTAGAAAAAACTTTTACATGACGTGACACCTGATGTTGATAATATATATATATGGACATTAAGTTATTTAAAGAAATCAAAATTCTTAGGACATTTTTGATATAAGTCTCATAATTTAAAGCAGTAGTCGGTTGTGTTTGCATTTTGAAGGTTAAAGCTTCCTGGAACAATTTGAATTGGGACATTGTAAATAATTTATATACTATACTAACAAATGTGTTTGTTTGTTTGTTTGTTTCACACTTTAAATGCCTCGTTTAACGATTAAACTTAACATTTTCTTTCTTACAAATGTCGATGTTTTCGCTGAGATTTCTTGTAAAAAAATATTTGTTAGTTGCAGTTTTTGGTAAATCGTCCTGCAGTCAGTCATCATTGTAGTTCTCACTGATAACCACTAGATGGTAGTGATCTGTCAGGAGACTTTCTCAGCTCTCTTCAGTCTGCCACATCACCAGGTTCATAGAAGTTCTAACGTTGTAAAGAAGGGCAGTACTTCAACATCTCTGTATGAGGCTCGTTGGTCTAGGGGTATGATTCTCGCTTAGGGTGCGAGAGGTCCCGGGTTCAAATCCCGGACGAGCCCACGTTTTGCAATAGTCAATCATTAGTTCACATTAAATCATGCTGTGCTCTCTGGGCAGGACAGAATAACAGTGTAAACAGTACATTTTTAAGCAGTAAAAGTCATCTTGTGATGAAGGAGAAGAAAAACCTTCTAGAAAACACTTTTACATGACGTGACACCTGATGTTGATAATATATATATATGGACATTAAGTTATTTTAAGAAATCAAAATTATTTTTGATATAAGTCTCATAATTTAAAGCAGTAGTCGGTTGTGTTTGCATTTTGAAGGTTAAAGCTTCCTGGAACAATTTGAATTGGGACATTCTAAATAATTAATATACTATACTAACAAATGTATTTGTTTGTTTCACACTTTAAATGCCTCGTAAATAATTTATATACTATACTAACAAATGTGTTTGTTTGTTTGTTTGTTTCACACTTTAAATGCCTCGTTTAACGATTAAACTTAACATTTTCTTTCTTACAAATGTCGATGTTTTCGCTGAGATTTCTTGTAAAAAAATATTTGTTAGTTGCAGTTTTTGGTAAATCGTCCTGCAGTCAGTCATCATTGTAGTTCTCACTGATAACCACTAGATGGTAGTGATCTGTCAGGAGACTTTCTCAGCTCTCTTCAGTCTGCCACATCACCAGGTTCATAGAAGTTCTAACGTTGTAAAGAAGGGCAGTACTTCAACATCTCTGTATGAGGCTCGTTGGTCTAGGGGTATGATTCTCGCTTAGGGTGCGAGAGGTCCCGGGTTCAAATCCCGGACGAGCCCACCTTTTATTCCCTATGGTCATAAAATGACTCATCTGTAAGTAGCCAATAATTAATGTTTTGACAACTTACTGTTATAACAGTCTACAACAGACTATTGAGTATTCCAGTATGTTTAGTCTGTATTTATGTTCCTGAATGTTAATAATTATTGTATATATAATGAAGAAATCTAAAGGCTTAAGAAATCCATAATTCCATAATTCCAAATTCCATAATTTCGTACCATTATGGAATACTTTGCAGTGTGATGATTTGACCTCTCTGCTTAATTTGGCCCAGTTTTTAAAAAACTGGATTATTGGAATATTTGATATAATAATAATATTAATAATAATAACATTTTTACTGCTCCATTCATTGCCAACAGCTGCATACATGAAGTGATCAGTTAATCCCCGTAGGAATTTCTGAGCCTGGAACAGACTCTTAGTTAATCTAGTTAACCAATAGTTAACCAATAAGATGCTGACTCAAGAAACAAAGACAGAGTAAAAGTCATAATGTGATTTGAAATGTTGATACATTTTTTTAAAAAGTGTGTAATCTAATTTTTTTGTTTTGTTACCAGAATATGGGATGATCCAATGTCTTAAAATCTGTCCACAGAGACAGATACGCCCCCCAGTGGGACTCTGAGGAAGTGTACTCATAAAGCAGAGCCAACAGCAGAGGAACCCAGCCTGAGGAGTTCTGCAGAGCTGACTTCTCTGTTTGGAAAAAAAAGAAAATAACACAGTGAGGCAAGAGTTGAATATTTTTGAGTTTTTTTTTTGTGAATAAAGAAGAAGTTACCTTTCTCCAGCAAGGCAGCAACCTTGGTCGTCCCCTGGTGGAGGAGAGCTGACCTGGGGATGGTGAATAAAACTTCCCCTTCCTCTATGTCATCTTTAGCCAACATCCCGTACTCTGACACGGTTCCCTCTGCACTCACATACACCTGTGGACAGAGACAAATGTACTGGACTCATGGGGAGGTCTCCGACAGGTGGGCGTTACGACCCAGTGAATGATAAATACGACGAATGTCGAATATCTCTTTCAGATCGACTAAAACATCACCTTATTACTGAGTACCAGACCAACGTCGTCACACCACTGAAGAAACCTCTCCAGTCGGCGGGTCTTTGAGGAATCATCCACCTGTCAGCCACAGAACCACAGCCATAGAAAACATTAATACTTCCACATTTCACCTAGCGAGCTAGCATGTAGCCGATAGATTTAAGCTGCGCCAAAAACAACTCCACGTCCGTTGTGTGTAATTTTATATATAGTTTTTGTCTTTTTTTAACCTTGAGTCGTTTTGCTTCTGTTGCCATATCTGTAAACGTTCCTGTGTAGATTCCCGCACCGGTAAACACATGGGGAAAGTTATACAAAGCTAACTACGGCGAGTAAAGAGGGACATACACGAACAGAGGCGAACACGAGAAGAATGGGATTCATTTCTCCTGCGCTGTGACTCCCAGGCGACAGATTTACACAAATATCATCAACTTTATAGAAACATTACACTCACCGATACGGATTTTTTAAAAATAAATCACATTTTACTGCATTTATTTTATTAACGTCGTTATTTTAAACTTCATCACACACCGGTGAAATTCAGTTTTAATGTATACGACACATGTATCTAGATTTAATGCATTCTTCAATAGTTTAACGTATAAACCATTGTCTTATAAATGTACAGTTTTATAAAATGATCGCTGAAGTCTCTGTTTTAAATTAAATTTAGGTTTTCCAGGTCACATCCTCTCGTGTGCCTTATGCGTGTTCGTCAATGTGGCGTTTACACTGATGACCACTAGATGGTAGCAAGTCGCCAGACGACTTTAGCAGTTCTTCGTCTGCCACATCACCAGTCCGACAGGGGCTTGTATGAATCTGTAGAAGAACGGTTTTGAGTCTCTGTATGAGGCTCGTTGGTCTAGGGGTATGATTCTCGCTTAGGGTGCGAGAGGTCCCGGGTTCAAATCCCGGACGAGCCCAACCTTTTGACCCCCTGCAGCATTAATATAAATTCATGTTGTTCTGGAGAATACAATTATCATTTTAAAAAACACTTTATTAAATGGAATTTTGATTTTGATTATTTCAGATGAATGGTTCATTTTTGTGTGTGAAACCTCTGCCTTGACTGGACCTTTGTTTATTTATGTGTAAAGTCTCTTGGTGTATTTTATCTGCAGGGATAATTAAAGCTTTTATCTTCATCTATCTATAATGTCTCTGATCTTTTCTCATTGGCTTTGATATTTTCTGAAAGAGAAATTCTGCTATCATATCATGATTACAAAAACAACAGACACACATGGGACATCTTCTCATCTACGTTCTGCAGCTCTGATGTGTTTTAAACAGCTCCAGAGCCAATCATCTGCCGTCAACTATGAAGAAGATATTTAACCTGTTCAACACAAACACACACAAGTGTGTGTCCTCTTACACATCTGGTCTGATCTCTCACAACGAGGAGCCGCCAGAAAAAGACCTGAAGGAGTTTTTCAAGGCTGCGTCGAAGGGCGACTTGACAAAGTTGAAGAGACTGGACATTAGGACAGATGTTGCTCAACTCAACAAGCAGACCAGCGATGCCTTTCATGTGGCCTGTGCTCGAGGACATGCCGAGGTGGTGCACTTCCTGCTGGAGAGAAAAGCCGAGGTCAACGTTTACGACGACAGGAAAAGATCTGCCCTGATGAAGGCGGTGCAGGGGCAGCACAAGCAGTGTGTGAAGATCCTGCTGGAGCACGGCGCCGAGCCCGACATGCCAGACGTCGGTGGCAACACTGCCCTCCACTGTGCGGCCAAAAACCCTCCCATCTCCATCGCCGTCCTGCTCCTGAAGCACAAGGCTGACATCAACATCCAGAACAAGAAGGGCTTCACGCCCCTGACCGTGGCGGTCCGTGATAATCACATAAAAATGGCGGAGACTCTACTCCAGCAGAACGCCGACGTCAACATCACAGACCAAGACCGGAAGTCTCCTCTGATGATAGCCGCCAGCAAGGGACAGATGCACATGCTGCAGCTGCTGATGCATTTTAACGCTGACATCACACTGAAGGACATCAAGGGATGGTCAGCTCATGACTACGCCTCCAAAAATGGCTTTTTCCGTTGCCTCCCGCTGTTGTCTAAGCTAAAAGACGGGCAAATAAAACAGTACGAGGATAAACCGCAGTTAAAAAGACAACATAAAATTCCAGTGAAAAAGGAAGAAGCTTTGAAGCGTTGGAATGAGGAGTCCGACCCTGAAGACACGTCTCAGTCAGAGACGGAAGAATGTTGGAATTCTTCTGAGAACGATGAAGAGGAAACGCCACAGAACACGAACCCACCTGGATTGTTACGTAGTTCCTCTAACTTTGTCAATAAAGATAAAAAGCTGAGAGGAAGTGAGAATAAAGTGTTTGTTTTAAACAAATATGCAAAAGGCGACGGTACGAAGAATCCCTTCAGTTTGGGTTCAACCAACGATCAGGACGGTGCATGTGATGGTCGGAATAATTTGGTGGAAGTCGTTGACTTCTCTGACTGGGACTCGCTCAGTGTTGATGTTAAACCTGAGGAGAAGGTCATCGATAGTGTGAGCAACAACGAGAGAAAACAGAAAACAGAACTTCCTGTGTGTTCAGACGCTGAACTCTCAGACTGGGACTCTCCCAGTGGAACCAGTCCTGATGATACAGATGAAGTCACAGGCAGAGAGGCTGACAAGGCACTTAGAGTTCTGAACAAACACGAGAATGAGGTTGAACAAAGGACTGATCTTGGTTTGGGTGATGTCGAAAAGCGTTTGTCTTCTTGGGACACACTGACGACCAGGAACTTTAAAGACAACGTTAAGGACAAACCCAGGAAATCTGGGACTGTGTCAAAGAACTTTTCATGTCAGGAAAGAAACATAAAAACACAACAGCCTGTAGCTACTACAAAATCCAGGAAGGAATCAGGTCAATCACATCTACCACCACGTCAGAAGCCTAGTGGTAAAAAACAGGAAGGACAGACGGAGACTTTGGAGCTGGAGCAATTCAACGTAGGCCACGACCACAGTCTGAAAGTCCAGGTCAGCGCTCTGATGTTTCAGTTGGCTGACATGAAAACTCACCTGGAAAATGAGCGCCAGAGCCGTGAGACTCTGGAGGCACAGCTGGTTTCTACCTGCGCTCGATTGGTCGCGGCGGTGAAAGAAGCAGAACGTTGTCTGGCGGCTCAGGCAGACGCAGAGAAAGCTCTGGTGCAAGAGAAGGAGGAACACCAGGTTCTGAGGGACAGTCTGGTCCACGCAGGGAACTCTGAGAGTGAAGAAAGAGTAAAAGTGCTGGAGAAGAAGAATAAGGATCTCACGAGTGCGGCTGCCGTCCTTCAGGCACGGATCTTCAAGTTGGAAGAAGAAAAAATTGAAACAGAAGCTGATGTGAAGCATCTGGCTGATTTACTGCCTAAACATCTGAGGAGGATTTGTGAAGGAAATAATGAGAAAAGTCGGAAACTCAAACAGATGAAAGATGTGATGGAGATCCTGAAGGAGGAGCACTGTAGGTTTGGAGTAAACCTGGCCAAGGCAAACTGCTTCATGATGGACGATCAACAGAGCTTCACGGAGAATCTGTCCCTGTGGCATCTGGACTGTGAAGAGACAGACGGACGGAAGAAGCTGGACGACTTATTTCAAAGGTTTCCGATGGGTGATGCGGCCATCGAGGTCAACATGAGCAGCTGCAGGGATCTGGAGGAGGAGATGACCCGCCTGCTGGAACTTATGGAGAAGGCCAACAATGTACTAGGAGAGAGCAAAGACCCTGATACTCAGACGGACGGACACTCTCGCTGTCTGAAGAGCCCTGGAGATGAAGTAGACAGGAGTAGAACAATCAAAGAGCTGGAGGAGGCTGTGGAGGAGCTGACCAGGAAAAAGTCAAGACTGAGTGACGCAGGACTGGGAGAAGGGAAACACCAACAGAGGAAGAAGAAGAAGAAGAGCGTGGTTCAGGGCATGGAGGGAAGCTCCGACCTCAGGAGGAGGTGTGACGTATCAAAGGCAGAAGGTGAAGATGTCGTCTTTCCCAGGAACAACAGGTCAGTGGACTCGAAATCACTCACTGAATGTGGCCGCGGAGAACTGACGGATAAGGTCGAGCGTCTGTCGCAGAAGAAGATGGAGAGCGCAGTGTCTCGATGTAGCCAACTGGAGAAGGCCAACAGGGAACTGAAGAGTCAGCTGGACACACTGAAGACCTTCTGCTGCAATAAAGTCCAGCGGGAAAGGAGAAATAGTGAATACGAAGAATTGTACCGAAATTGGCAAAGGGAGAATGTTCCGCTGCAGCAGAACCAGAGAGAACCGTATGGTTTTAATGAAGAGAAGTGGACCTGCCAAAAGATACAGTACAACCTGAAACAAACGGATGACTGAATAAAAAGGCAGCTGGACCAGGGCTGCAGAAAAGACGACTGAAAAGATGACATGTTGAACTTATCATGTTGATCCATATCTTTATCCAGTAATTAAAGTTTTTTAAAAGGTTGGTTTGGAACGTTTGTCTGTCTAAAACATACAATGAACCTGATAATACTGCTGCTATGTTTATTAGCAGTATTAACAAGTATTAGTTTTCTATTTACATTTATTTTATTTTATCCATTATATTGTTATTATTATTTAATCTATTTAATTTTATTCAGACCATTTTACTGCCATTTGTTTATGTAAAGAGAGGAAATAAAAAAATAATTAAAAGAACATTTTACATCAAACAGAACGTGTATTTTTTCTAAATACACTCCCCTCTTACATACAATCATTAAACACAAATTCAATAAAATGAGCTCTTATTTTGACAGACAGGAAATGCCGCTGACTGTGTTCCGTTTCTGCTACCGCTGTTTGTACCAGGGACTTCCGGCTATCTCGTTAGCTACGCAGTCAATCTGAACTAATATTTAAAAACAGGAAAAGGACAAGGTGAGACCGACCTTTCATTCGTGTATATTTCTCAGTATGTAGTTGACTTTTCTCATGTCAGTTGCAGGAGATATTTTGTTGACATTTTCGCCGTTTTTCAGAAACCTTAGGCAGATTAGCCTGTGGGAAGCTCGAGCTTGCTATCTCGTTGCTAAGCAACACGACTCGTCTGTAAAGCCCGTTAATTACATTAGTGAAGGTAAATCACGCAACGCTACAAGGTTTATTTTATGCAAGTAGTTAATGACATATAAAAATCCACACTGTGGTAAAATAACAGTTTCTAAATATGTACCGATAGAATGACTGTTTACTGTAGTACAAGTGTCAGCGGCGTCTTTACTGTAGTTACTGTAAGTTCGCTTTTATTTCGAGTGAAAAGTCAGGTGTTTACGTGAGAAGACATTTATTTATTTGATCCTTTTTTCTAGGATTAAACACCGTGTATAACAGATATACAGTTGAGAAAAACCTCAGTCCTTTTGTCAACAAAGTGCTCCCATAAAAAACAACAACCTGTTGTTTTTAACCACCTTGTTGTCCTGTTTCTTGTTAGCTTTAAGCTGATCAGACAACATGCTGGTCCCCATATTCACCCTGAAATTAAACCACAAGATTAATCCTCGGATGGTGACCATCGGGAAGTATGACGGACTTCTTGTTGTTTTTCTTCTATTTCTGTTCAAATAGGTTTTCATCCATAACCCTCACACTCGTGCTCAGAGACCCGTCTCTCACCGGCTCAGTCAGAGCGCCCAGGACTCGGACGTCTCACTTCTCAACATCAACCAGGCAGTCAGCTGTTTGACTGCAGGGAAACTGGGGCCGAACACGACCGGAGACACCCTGCTGGTGGGATCCCAGACCAACCTGCTGGCCTACGACGTCCACGACAACGCAGATGTCTTCTACAAAGACGTAAGACTGTGGACGGATGTCGTCAAAAGACAGGAGTGAAATAAAAAAACCCTTCAGGTTGGATGATTTTTAAAAATTCTGATCTGTGTGTGTGTGTGCAGGTAGCAGATGGAGCCAATGCTATTGTGTTGGGTCAACTTGGTGACATTTCTTCTCCACTGGCCATTATTGGAGGAAACTGTGCCTTACAAGGATTTGACTACATGGGAAATGACAAATTCTGGACAGTAAGTACTAATCTGGAAAAAAGGAGCATCAGTAAAAATGGTACTTTATACTTTATTACGCCTCACGTCTGTGAAGGTTATCAGTCAAGTAGGCGACTGAAGAGCTGACGTTTGTCCGTCCAGGCTGTTGGATGTGAGAGTAAATATTCTGTCTGTTTGGGTTTTACCTGCAACATAAGACCACGAGAGTCGAGTCCTGATAACGCATTTGTTTCAACAGGTGACTGGAGACAACGTCCGCTCTCTTGTCCTCAGTGACTTCACTGGAGACGGAAAAAATGAGGTCAGTGTTTGCAGGAGTTTATACACAATGTTCCTGCCAAGAGTCTAAACACCAGATAAAATCCAGGGTTGTTTTGGACCATGATGTCATTTTTAAAATGCTGTTCGTTGATTGTTAATTTTTAATGTTCACAGCTACTGGTAGGATCTGAAGATTTCGACATCCGAGTGTTCAAAGAGGACGAGCTCGTCTCTGAAATGTCTGAGAATGAGGTAAAAGGATGTCAAACACTTTACTCTCTGGAAAGTTATCAACTAAATGATTAGTTGATAACTGTGGGAAATCATTTCTGATCATTTAACCTCTGACCTTTAACCTCTCTCTGCCCTTCGTTCAGACTGTGACAGCGTTATGTCACATGCACGACTGCAGGTTTGGCTACGCTCTTGCTAATGGAACTGTTGGAGTCTATGACCGCAACGCCCGCTACTGGAGAATCAAGGTATTACAACAATAAAAAAAAAAAGCTTTTAAAAAGACACTTGTTGTGAAGATAAAGATTGTTAATAAGATTTGTTTTCTATGTGTTTATAAAGTCAAAGAATCATGCGATGAGCATCCATGCCTTCGATCTAAATTCTGATGGTGTTGTGGAGCTAATCACTGGATGGTCAAATGGAAAGGTCAGTGTGTAAAATGTGTCACTTCAAAGGGTCCATATGTTGTCATTTGATTGTTGGATCAGTGAAGTTCACTGTGATCAAACGTCCTGTTTTGTGGCAGATCGACGCTCGTAGCGATCGCACAGGAGAGGTGATCTTTAAAGACAACCTCTCGTCCTCGGTGGCAGGAGTGGTGGAGGGAGACTACAGGCTGGACGGACAAAAACAACTCATCTGTGCCTCAGTAGAAGGAGAAGGTATGTTGTGTGGAAAACACTGCCCCCTACCTTGGGAACCACCATGTTAGAGGACGTGCAATTATAAATCTACATTTATATTTGGTGAATATTCAGTAGCTTTTTGTTTCACTTAAATAAATAGGTAAATATATTAAATACGAATGAAAAAAACGTATGGTCTATGTATGAACTATGGTCAAGCCTATGGTGTGTGTGTGTGTGTGTGTGTGTGTGTGTCCTGTAGTCCGTGGTTACCTGCCGGCGAGTAAAGAGCTGAAGGGAAACCTCATGGACTCCAGCGCTGAACAGGACCTGGTCCGTGAACTCAGCAATCGCAAACAGAACCTGCTGCTGGAGCTCAGGAACTATGAGGAGAACTCTAAGGTTCAGTCAGTCCAGCTGCACCTCCGCTTCTTTATCCACTCACAGCTGACGTCTCTAAACCCAGGCCTGTTCTGTCCAGGGCGTGTCAGAGAGCAGCGGTGGCGTCGGTGTGA